AAAGCAGTGTTCCAGAACAGTGCAACAGAAGCAGCAGGTGCAGCTTCTTGCAAAGTGATCTAGTAAAGAAGCTGGACGTTTAACTTTTTTTTTTCACTTCACAATTTCGTATTCGTTGAATCAGTGCAAAAACTGATAAGTGACAAATAAGTCTTGATGAAACAGCAACTTGTGATTTATAAACTTTATTTGTTGTACAGATCAAACACAAGAGGTGGAGGACATTAATGGGAGCAGATGAGTCAATGAGAGTCCATATGAGCGATGTGACAATAAACCAACTAAATGCATTTGTTGACTTATTTTTCCCACAACCTGCTCATCATGATCCTCTGCATTACTAAAAGGCTTCTTATATTTTCTGGGGTAGAAAAAAAAAAGCAATTTTCTATGATTTGTTTGCAAACGACACCAGGCTCAGACTAGAGGAGTTTTGGCCCAACTTCTTCTCAATTGTCCCACCTCCACTCTGCACCAAAACTCTGACTGAATGAAAGCTCAAGAAAGCAGACTGAAGGGTGGAGCTGCAGCTGATGTTTTTAACTGCAGAATTTTTCCTGCAACTAAAATTCAATGTAGCATGTTTTACCAGTTATTTACAGAGATAAAAACAAGCAGTAATTCAAATAATAAAATGGTAATCCAAGTGAAATAAGCATAAGCCACAGATTTTTAAAGAAAGTATCGAACAGTGCCGAGGTGCTGCAGTGTCAATTTCTATTATAGAAAAGACTGTGAGGAAAAAAATGTTTTGAATCGACAGAAAGGTCGATTAAACGTTAATTACAAGCCGTCTATGGTCCCAACTATTGGACTGTAGATTTGCTATAAGTTAAAGATAATTGGCTTAAAGGGTTGAAAAAAGGCGTGTCGATAGATCTCAGGTATATTGGAATCAAAGCTTAATTCGTTGTTACCATTTAACTATTTAACATTAATGATTCTAAGCAGAGCAGTCAACGAAGAAACACGGGTTTAAAATGACAAGAGATATTCAGTCAATGCCAAGTTCACCGCAAGATATAAAGCAGAATGTTAAACGTGTAACCAGGAGATATTGTAATATTGCACGAAAGTGTATTTCTCTTTAACTTAGCTCCCTAAGACCCAAACTCTTTCATAGCATGCATTTTTAATTTCTCTTTGCTATTTGGGCTGATTGGGACCTGATGAATGTAATGATTTTGGTTTCAAAAATGGGATCCACATATGAGGACATTCGTTTTAAATTTTGATAGAACAGTGGCAATATAATGTTCCCGTAAGTGGATATCAGGCCCTTGTAGAACAAAATTTAGTATTTTGGTCTAGACAATCCAAAATGTGATGTCCACATATGTGGACGCTAGGTCCTAGGAGGTTAAACAATTAAATAAGGATTTTCTCGTTCTAAGAATACTGCATAAAAAAACCCAAAAAAAACAAAAAACCAATTCAACTGAATGCAAAATATAAAAGACAATAGGTTCTAATTTCTAATTACTTGAAAGTGTATAAAATACAAATTTGGTTCTGATTCATGCAATTAAATAAGCACACGCTCAACCAAAATTAAAATTATGCATGGCAAATTCCCTCCATCGTGTGACTAAAAGACATGTTTCTGGCCCTGTGAAGATACCAAAGAAAACGGCTGGGTGGATAAAAAAATTTAAATAATATTTGCTTCAGAGCCTTGTTATTACAAGGTAAAAAAATAAATGCTTTGGATAACAGTGATGATGTATCCGCTTGTATTTAGGGGTTTGATTTAACTTTAACTTAAACGATATGGTTTCCATAACTCCTTAGCCACACTGACCTAGTGACTAGCTGCCAGTCTTGATAGACCAAAATATCCATTCCCTGAACAACTGGTGAGTGGTTGCTAGAAGCTGGGCAAAACAGGTCGCAACTGCGCCAAAAACCTCCTGCTAATTGCTTTGTTCCTATCAGACTGCATCCAGACAATCAGGCACCAACTGGTCTCTAGGCCTGGGCAATATAGGCTTAGCAACTGATATCACAGCAATTGCCACCACCACTCAACAACTAACCCTCATGTTTTCCTCACAACCGGTGGTTCCCAGGCAGTTACAAACCAGTCTCTAGGCCTGTATAACTGGGACTTAAAAAGATAACTTACCCCAATAGTGACCAAAAGACACGCTGTCCAGAGAGCATAAACAACTACTGCATCCAGTCCAGTTCAGCCCAAAAAGAGATCAACACTGCACCAGCCTGATGTGGCACCAATTAATGAGCAATCACATTTGATAGTACTATAAGAATATAAATGCCTTTTCCCTTACAATTCACAGCTCACAAAAAACTCTTCTTCATCTAGCAGTAATGATGCACTCATGATCAAAGCTGCCTATAAAGTATGGTTGGCTCCACATGAAATATTGAAAAATCAACAGCAATACACCTCGAACCGACCTATTTAGGCCAGACATTATTTGGATATGGCCTAATTTGAGTCTAGAGACAGACTCATGAAGACTAGGCTTTAGTTTTGAACAGCTATACTTATGCAGGTTTAAACTAAATGCTTTGAGCTGAGCTTCAGAAAAATATCAGGGTCTGTTCACTGGGAAGTAAGAATGTCTTGTGACGTACTCAACTGTCACTCAGGTGTTTTACAGAACATTCATACTGTATTTTCAAGCTCTGAGTGCACTTCTATCAGACTCACAGGGATGGTCTTATGCGATGAGATATTTCAGTCTAGACAAAAGTGACAAACCAACAGAGGCAAACTATACCCACGGGGAATACAAGAATACAAACTAATAATCACCATTACTTTAAATGTAAACCAACACTGGGACAGAGGGGGGTCTGAGTAATGAGGCTGACAATCTGGGTTCCAATGTAGGATGAGAAACTAGGTCAACACTTGTCTGGGCAAACTAACTTTTTTCAATACATCACAGACGTTCCAGCAATGTTAACAGTCCTGTTCATAAAAGGTGCAAAATTTTACAAAGAAAATGCAGAGATCTTAGAAATTAGTTGAGTTTTGTTCCCTGCTCTCAGCGCACAGTGGAGAGCATTATTAGCATCTGTGTTTCTTTTCATCACAGCATCAAGTCTCAAATTCAACTAAGAACCTTTTAGCAGTGGCTGCACCTGCTTGCCTCTCAGAAACTGGATTTCAGTGTGTGGTGGTATGTTAATATTATAATAACAGAGAAGTGATATTGAAACCTATTTTCTCATGAAAACCATCTGTTTTGTTTTTTGATTTTAAATCAACTGCCAACTGAAAGATGCTGAGACTGGTACCAGCCAAAGACACTCCCCTCAGCATTATCCACATTAACTGGAACGCCGCTTTGCCCCAGTTTTCCAGCCATTTACCCAACATTTCAATTTCACGTTAGTCTACAACTTATGCAATCTAACAAATGAAATAGATTCAGACCAGAGCACAATATGATTGCTCAAAATGTAAATAGGTCATTTCGAATAATCTCTGACCCAATCAGCTACAGTGGCTCAAGAATCAACTTTTTTTTTTACATTTTTATTTCACAAGAGACCCAGTAATTGCTACATCTTTGGCTGAAGCCATCTGGGTTACAGGGCCATGAAAGTAGTGGGAGTTTAGGCAAAGTGTTAAATAGGTCTCAACACAAGCATCCTCTCCAGCAGTCACAGGTCCAGTTTTCCCCATTGGATCGACCTCCTATTTTCCTCTCTGGCTTCTGCACCTCGACCCTGGAAGCCTAGTAACTGTGGGGAGAACAGCTTGGAGTAGGATTGTGGTGTAGGCCTGTGTGGGTCGTGTAAAAAGTAAGGTTCCCATATGCCCGCCAGCCCTGAATCTTGGATAGCTTCAACTTGAAAGACTTGGCCAAGCTGCTCTGCACTCATTCATACAGGGCCAGTTGCTCATCCAGCCAAACCCTCTAGAAAATAAAACTACTTGCACACACACAGATACACACAAAACACTGCCACTCTGCTTTATATGAGTATCAACACGCAGAGCTACCAAATTTGAATTCAAGCTGCTGGTGTTTGTGCCCATATCTTTAAATTTGAATAGTAATGCAAGAAAAAAAACCTTACTAGTTTACTTCCAACAACACACACACACACACACACACACACACAAGACTTGAAGCCTTTTTGAATATCGGGAAAGTAAAACATGAACAAAGACTGAATTCCACTCTATAGCTGTTAACTTTTCTTGCAGAAGAGGGAATCAAAGCACACAAACACATATAGAGCAACTCATCACCTAAAAAAAAAAACCCTCCTGTAACTTTCTTAGTAATCTTGACTCTCTTTCTCTCTTCTATCAGTGCTGTGCATCCAACACGGGTGCATCACACTCTCTCCTCTGTCCCACAACTCTAACAATTCCGCCTCTGCAAAGCTGACGGCGCTACAGGAAGACGGTACGAGTTGTGCCAAACAGTCTTTATTTTTTTGTAGTGCAGAGAAGCAAGCCAGCAAAGCATAGGAAAGCAATTTGGTGACACCGGTAAGCCCTCTCAAACCACAACAAAGCTCAAATTTAATTTAAACTGGTTGATCATTTTTAAACTACTGCCAATTGAGTTTGACATTTTTCTCCTTTTAGGCTTTAAACGCTGTAGTCATGCTGTGCGTCCTTCAGGATCCTCACAGTGAAAGCAGCCTGGTTTCCATTAACCACCAGTTGTTGGCATTAGGCAGTAGATATCACTGGGAGCATTCAAAGTGCTGGAGATGTCTAACAGACTAAGCGCATCAGCGTGCCTGAAAGAGTCTGAGCATCTGCTGCATGGGACAAAATGAGAGTGGAGTAATTATGAGAGAGGCTCCCCGGAGCGTTCTCTCTCAGCATCCCCGCTAATCCGGTGACACCAAAAGGTGTGGCGCCGTGTGGCTTTCCTCACACTTACTAATAAACAAAGAGCGTGCGCGAGTGAGTGCGCGTAATCATAAAGAGAGAAGACAAAGCCATTTCTTGAACTTGAGCAGCGCGACTGATGGAGAAAACGTCAGAGTGCGTGCATTACCTCGGAAAAGGAAGGCTTTGCTGCTGTTGTGAAGACCCGCCACTTGGGTAATTCCATAGGTGGCATTTGCCAGGTCAAGTTCATTGATGATATCAAGCTGGTAGTCTTGATCTGAACCGAAAGCCAAAGCTGTGGAAGAGAATTTGGAGGTGAGAGGACAATCTGCTGACAGAAGTGAAGCTGACAGTGTTTTAACAACAATGTTGATTCACTTTAAACACAGACCCGGTCACTGTTTTCTGCATTTATCCACTTAAAATGGCTGGTTGTAGAAAAAGTCACGCAGTTTTTATTTTTCACGAAAGATGCTGCTAAGGCTGCCCACTAAAAGAAAGGGGGAGAGTGCTGTATGTGTCCACGACCATCACCTGTCTTCTAACTCTGCAAACTGTAGGTGATTGAAAATAAAAATAACTGAAATAATACTGAAAAATTAAAGGCACTGCCACAATTCTGGAATCCTTGCACTCAATGTGCAAACTGGGAAGCATAAAGAAAAAGAAATTATATATATTTAAAGAAAAAAAAAGCTTCTGCTACAATAAGATGCTACAAGAGTGAACACGGGCTTTGTGCTTACCTGGTGTGGTAAAAAAGAAAAGGGATAACAGAGCCACGTAAATATCCATTTGTGTTGGAGTTGCGATGTACAGAGTCCGTGAGTGTGACGCGCCTCCGTGTACCCACACTAACCCGCTCCGGTCCGTCTGGTGCTCTGCGCCGCTCTCACCTCGCCTGGATGTGGAGGAACGGAGGAATGGTCCACAATCCGTGAGCAGGGGTTCTCTAATTACAACACCGGGAGAGTTAATGGGCTTTAAACGTATCCAGTCAGTTGGTGGACGGCATTAAAAGTGACCCACATCCGCGTTCATGTGTGACTCCTATTAAACTGAGCAGCCGATATGAAATTCGAGGATATTCTCATCACTCGAACTGCGAAGTTCCCCTCCGCTCAGACAACAGAAACTTCCAGTTTTTTGGAGGTGAGAAAGAGGTTTTCAAACGGAACTTTGTGAGTGGAGGACATCGGTAATGTCTGTAGAAGGCTGCTGTTATTTGTCACAACAGAGAAAATATTTTTTACAGCCTCAAGCGGCAATTTGACACAGCAGTTCACAAAGTGGAGCCCATTATATTAGCCACATGAACATACCGTAGCTCAGGGAGTCTTCTCTAAATGAGAAGTTTGTATAACAAGAATTTGCGTCACAACTCTCCGAACTCATCCCTGCTGCTCCAGTGCTCTTTCCTCTGGGGCCTGTCCTTATTAAGGTCCATTCCCCTGCCTGCCTTCACTTTGTCTACATTGTCAGGTTGTCTGGGTTACCTGCGTCAACTCAAACTAGGGAGGGCAAGAACAGAGGTATCTGCTCAGAGACTGCAGCAGCATGCATCGCCTGCTCCAACAGTGCTTGCCTTTTCCACACCGGGGACGGTGCTTTGGGATGCAGGTCACTCCTCCACCTATTCAAATTAGACTGTAAACAACACTGCCTATCCACTGATCCAGAACCCGAAAAAATTGAAGGGTAAAACAACATGTAATTTGAAATTACAGGTTGCAGAGCAGCCAGCAGAAAGGGGAGGGAAAGAGAATTTAAATTGTTTTTAGACAGGCGGTGGTGTTTACAGGCTACAAAATTCCTGCCTCTCAGAATATTAAGTGTAGGGAAAAGAAAGCCAATTAAAATGCACAGTGTTGTCCACTTCATTTATTTATCCGTCTGTTGTTTCTTTATAAATATCAGGATCATGTGTGGAATTATCTACTGAAGCACAGCAAATTTATGCAGGGGTTCCTATTCCCACCCACAGGCAACCGAGGACAATCTAGAAAAAGAATGTGTCTGTGTGAGATTACAGATTTTTGTTAATTCACTTACATTTCTTTTTCACGTGAAATGCCTCTGTTGATTGCCAATAGTTAACCACATAGTGAGCTCAGAGGTGCTAGTAGGCAGATTGTATTACCTGTGGACAAAGTCAGGTCGGTTGATTCTCCCTGTACGCAGTTACTCTTTGTATCTACTGTAGCTTGATAGTTACACTGGCAGTCTGTTTATCTAAATATAGAAGTCTATGCTCCCTATAGGTTATGACATATAGTTCTATTTTAACAATTAAACTCATGTGAAATAAGGTTAAGGATAAGCTTTATCTGTCAGTTGCAGTTGCCTGCAGCTGAAATGACAGACCTAGTCGACCATACAGGCAATACATACAGTATACAAACTTACATTGGGGAGACAGGCAGCAAAAACAGGGATAGATAGTGAAATATGTAACATATAGGGGCAAAGTCAGGAGAAGAAAAAGGGTTTCTGCCCATGATGACTTCCAACAAGTGATTCATCATGAGGAGAAAACACAAAAAACTCCATACCACATAAAGAAGCACAGATATCATCACACTACATGCCATGAAACACACAAGCAACGTAAGGGCGAGGGTACGCCGATGTACACAGTGGTCACCGTATACATACACCTGTGTCACGAAATTGGGCAGAATTACTCAAATGAGCATACTAAGTTATGTTTAATGTTGGAAAATAATCACTTTTAACCCAAATCACAAATGTTTCCTAATTGCAACTAATTACCAAATTTAAAAAAAAAAAAAAAAAAAAAAAAAAAGCCAGATAATCTTAGACTCAATTCAGTTTGATTTATATAGCACCGAAGCACCTCAAGACACTGTCACGGGGCCGAGTGGCCTGTACTGAACAGGACTCAGGTGCAGAAACCCAGAGCAGAGACAGCAGATGATGTAACAATTTATTAGGTTTAAGTGCAAAAAAGCAAAGACACAAAAAAAAAAACAAAAAAAAAAAACAATAAGACGTGGAGTTTGACGAGGCGTGGCCTGGGGAACGTGGCTAGGGCGAGGGAATGAGGCCTGAGATGCGGAGTGGAGCTAAGCAGGGAACAGTCACACTGAAGAGAGAAGATAGAGGAGTTAGGGAGGTAGTGGAGGCAGCTCTGAAGTGGCCAGTTGTAAGAGTAGCAATTCTTACTTGCAGTAGGGGACATAGAGTGTTGAGAGGGGGGTGATGAGAATCCAGGGGAGGCTGAGTGGTGTGGAAAGGCTGGCCTGAGATCCGGGGCTTCAGATGGAGTGTGATGGCAGGAGGGCAGGCAGGTGAGGCACAGAGAGATTTTCCGAATGATTGCTTGGTATCCTGAGTCCAGAGGTGGAGCGTGAGCCAAGGTGAATACAGCAACTGCAGCACAAGTTAACAAGATAGATCACAGCAAGAACTTGAAGTATAAGGGCTGTTACCAACATGTGTTGATGACGAACTGGCAGTGAGTGAACATCAACGTGTGGTTTAAATCCCTCTGGCTTGATTGCCTGCAATAGGCTCCAGGTGTGCAGGAGCTGGAGTTGGCCCTGCCCAGGGGCGGATCCCAGGTCAGTTCAGGAGCCTTATGGAAATTCCAGCCACCCACCGCAGACCATGACAGACACTCCATATTGTAAGGTAAAGATCGTCATAAATGCCAACAATCAGACACCCTCTATAAGCAAACACTTGGTGACAGTGGAAAGGGTAAAGGAAGAAACCTCTGGCAGAACCAGGCTCAGGGCGGCCATCTCCCATGACTGATTGGGTGTGAGGGGAGAGAGATGCAACAAAAAAAAGTCAAACACAATCTCTTGCTCATTATGTGTCTTTGCCTCAGACTTTCTTCTTTAATATATTTAAAATGCAAATACTACGTGATCTGCTTTTAGGAATGCTTAGATTATTTTTTTAATGGTAAATAACTAAATGACTATTTCATTTTTTCAACCAAAAGAACTTTTAGATGAAAATAACATGCTTGTTTAAGTTTAAATCTACGGGGCATCAAAAAGAGGTTTGCAAGCAGGTGGGTAGACAAATTAACCTAAAGGGTTACAGTGAGATTGTGGGAAAATGGTAAAAAAAAAAAAGGTTTTCGGACAAAAAAACCACCCTGGAGCTAGAAGAGTGCTTCAGTCAATGTGACAGTGTTAGAAATCATGGTGTAGTTCTTTCAAATATAAGTGGAGGAATTACTCAGAATGTGCAGTGTTCTCAGAGTGTTTACAGTAGCAACAGGCAGATGATCCTGTAACATCTGTGAAGACTATTCACTCTGTTCCTTTTTCACACATTTGCAGCACATTAAATGTTCTGAGATATATTACAGAACTGTTAGCTTCTTCTCATATATAAAGTGTTATGATTCAGTGTTATGGATATTTTTTGTACTGTGTTTTTTGTCTGCCACACCAGAGGGGGGCATAGTTTGTGTCCTGTGTTATTGCTGCTATGTGAGTTCCAGGTGGAGGCTGACCATTGGTGGAGGACTGGGAGAGGCCGGCTATAAATGAGGACCCTTCTAAACTGGCATGCCCCTGCCTACTTCCTGTTCCCAACGAACTGTGCATGTGGCTGCGTGTGAATTTGTAATCTGGAAGCTTTTGCCGTGTTGTAAATAGTTTGTTGTAAATAGATGTAAATAGTTGTCAATATTATTTCATTTCTAGAGGTTTTTTTTGTTGTTTTGGCCATGCTTCGTCTTCCTTGAGAGAAGGGAGTGTGGGGGCATTTTCCTTTTTTTTTTTTTTAAATTTTCCTTACGTTGCACACCGGTTTTCCCTGGGCTGGGGTGTAACAAAAGTAATGTCCATTAGTTATTGGACAATGACATAATTTTTGTAATTTTCCATCTGTGTACCACGGGGGATTTTTCAATAAGAGAATCAAGATGCAATTCAAATGCAAACTTTCAGCTTCAATTCACGGTGATATACAAAAATAATAATGATTATAATAAATGTAATAACAGCTATTTTTATACACAGCCCTCCCATTTTCAGGGGCTCAAGTTAACTGGACAAAAATAGTGCAAGTTTACATCTAATAATTGTATTTTAATGCTTGGATGAAAATCATTCGAGCAAACTTTCTAAATCTTAGAACATGGATATCATCTGTGTTACCTTGACATACAGCACTCTGCTAGGCCTTTACTGCAGCCCTTCCATTGCTGTCTGTATTCAGGTCTTTGCCTTTAATAACTGAAAAGTATATATTTTGCAGAATGCTCTGGGTCATTATCCTTTTGCACTGTGAAGTACTATCCGGTTTTGAAGCATTTGGCTGAATCTAAGGGGGGGTAGAGCCCTCTACACTTAACCATTCATCCTCCTGCTTCTATCAAAAGTCACATCATCAATAAACACTGGCAACCCAGTTCCAGTAGTGTTTACTGCCACTTTCTACTGAACATGTTCATGTCATCGCATCGTCTTCACCATGTTTGACAGATAATGTGATATGCATCAGCTCAAGCTGTTCCTTTCCTTTTCCACACCTTTCTTTTTCCATCATTCTGGTTCAAGTTCATCTTGTTTTCAACTGCCCAAAGTTTTCTCTTTTTTTGTTTCAAAAACGGTGCAGATCCTTTTAGATATTTGCAGGAGAAGTTATTTTTTTTAGTGGAACCAGCAGTTTGTACCCTGCTGTATAGCCTGCAATATAAAATTTAGTTAAGTAAATTCTGCAACCATTTCCAATAAATGTCATGCATATCAGCTTGGAGAGATTTTAAACAATTCCAGGTCTTCGCAGGCAACTCACAACTCTCCAACATTGGTGGGTATTCTCAAAATGAACTGCTAGAGTCTGGCCGGTCCACATTATGGGTGGTAACGCAGGTGTTCCAAAGCATTAACTTTACTCTTTTTTAACTACTGACTTGTGTGACAACTTGTGGTCTAGTGGAAAACACATTTGCTTGGCAAGCGAAAGGTTGCTGGTTTGTTTCCAGCTGGAGATGCAAGTCCCCTTTGGGGAAGTGTCAGGAAGGGCATCCAGTGTAAAACCATGCTAA